GTATTTGTGCCTGGGGTTGCCCTGACCCAAGATGGGACCTTCTGCCTGATTGCCCCTTTGATACCTCTGTCCTTCAGGAGTCCACTGCAGAAGTTGGACAATTGGCTCTTCAAAAAGTTGGACAATTGTCTCCTTACTAGGAGTTTCACTCTGATCTCATTGTATCAGGGGACAAGAAGAAATCCCTCCATGCCTCGCCAGTGGAGTTTTACAGCTGAGACAAAAGGCCAATCCCTTGGTCACACCTTCAGTCCCACTCGATGGGATTGCACAAACTATGTGTGACCTGTTTCTGCCTACTTCTGGAGAGGTTATCTCACCTCGCTGGTGAGTCTGCATGGGGTGGGAGTTCTTGGATTTGCTGAGCCCTTTGCAGTGACTTGAAGTTAGCAGATCTCAGGGACTCGCTTGTAAAATTGCCAGCTCAGATTTTGAACTGTCAGCTGCTGATCTGTTCCAAACCAGTGATCCTGACAAGGCAGCCTTACCTGTCAGATTGGAGGTGTTACCAGAAAGCATGAGCACTTTCAATGTAGCTACAGAAATCTGATTCAAAAATTGGTGCCTGTGCGTCCTTTTATGGGGGCTCATACTCACAGCTTGGCTTTCCTAAGATTTTGCTGTTTTCCAGAAACATTGTGTTGTTTGCATGTATTGCTGCTTGGCACTGACTTTCAGGACTTCATGGCTGCCAGGCAGCTGGCCACCTTGCCCTGATTGTAGAAAGCACCACATTCAACACCATCTTTCTAACTCCTCTGTTGACCTGTTTCTCCATGTCCCTGGGCAGGACAGGGATTGTCTGTTCTCTTGTACAGTGGTTAGCACAAGGAGCTCCTGGCCCATCCACTAGTGCTTCTGGATGTTCAGCTAAGGGCATAACTACTAAAGGCAGTGATGGATCCATGACCTACACAAGCGCAATACCATCTATATACCGTTATGATATGACTGCTCAAGTCCTCAGCCAGAAAAAACTACACACAAGGGGTGGGACAGACATTTGGAAGTAGTCTCGTCACTTTTAAATATGCTCTTCAGTTTCCCAGCTTTGAAAACCTAGCTGTGGTCTCTGGTGAAGCAGACCCTTGGGCAGGGGATGGAAGCAGTACTCCTCCCTAGGTCCAAAACCCTGTGTTCATGTGGGCTTTACTTCCAGCACAGGCAAAGGGAGATGGGGAAGAGCAAATGAGGAGGGTGCTGAGGCTGCTTCTCTGTCTCCCTGCAGGGCAGCAGGCTTGGAGGAATGACCTGTTTGTTCAGGCCCATGGTCTCCCCATAGTGGCGTCTCCACCCACACTACCCTGGTTTCTTGCTTTTCCTCCTTCTAGAAATGCAGCACCTGATTCTCAACTTATTTTTCTGATGACAGATTTGTATTTTCTTGGCAGGATCTGAGCGAGTTAAATTCAACAACAGTGAAGAGCCCCACCAACACTGTGGCAGTGCAGAACCTCAAAGCTGGCACCATCTATGTCTTCCAGGTGCGGGCTCGTACTGTGGCCGGGTATGGCCGGTATAGTGGCAAGATGTATTTCCAGACCATGACTGAAGGTGAGTCTTCAGCTGCCTCTGCATAAAGGAAACACAGGGTCTAGAGAGACTTGAACAAGATGGAGGTGCACTGGCAGCAGTGCTGGTCCCTTTGCTCTTAGTCCATTCAAGGGTGCACTGTCAAGTCACATGCATTTATTCAACCTGGCAAGACCTGGAGAGAGGCATGGGCACTTGGTGGTCCATGCAGGGTATCATATAATCTAGGCCAATTTCTGACAAGCTTTGGCATAGGGACATGCTCATTCAGTTGGATTTAGAGGAAACAAAATTTATGATTCTCATGTGCACAGATGTTGATGACAGATGCAGACCTGGGCCTCTATTTTCTAAATTAGTGCTGCTAAATAAAACAGGCCAAGCCAGTTTTCTCCCCCGGAGGCCAAGGAGCAAGGCACAGCATGCATGCATCCATGGGACTAAACTCTCCCACCCATAAGGGATAGGTCTATCCAACCTTCCTACTGGGGCACATCCCCTGTCATAGCCAACCTGAGCCATGCCTAGGACAGCACTAGCTCTCCCAGACCAAAACCGTGCCAGGAAGCCCATTAGCAATAGCCATGCAAATGTGGGCAGTGCTCATGGCCGTGCTCTGACCTTGATGAACTTGTTACCATAGACCCATCCTGTGCCACGGTAACCTGTTCCCTCTTCCTTGTGTTCCAGCCGAGTACCAGACCAGTGTCCAGGAGAAGCTGCCGCTCATCATTGGCTCCTCTGCAGCAGGACTGGTGTTCCTCATTGCTGTTGTTGTCATCGTTATTGTGTGCAACAGGTCGGTCAGTCTGAGTGCAGGACCCGGGGCTGGGGCTGTGCAAGGGGGTGGTGACTGGAGACAGTGGGTGGCAGGGGTAGGGGAAGGGGAGGATGGGGACAGGAAGGTGAAGGGGGAAAGAGATGTCCCTGCAGTGCATTCCTCAGCCCCGATGTACCTGCGTTGGGGCTCAGGACTCCCTTTCTTTCCAGAAGACGTGGCTTTGAGCGCGCTGACTCCGAGTACACCGACAAGCTGCAGCACTATACCAGTGGCCACAGTACGTACCGCAGCCCCCCACCAGGCCTGGGGGTCCGCTCTCTCTTCGGTTTGTGTTCCTGTTCACTCATTCCTTGCGGTGCGCAGGGAGGGCTCAGGCCACCCAGCCAGGCAGGCGTGTGCGTGTGTAGACAGAAGGACCACCATGCTGTCTAGCTCCCTCACCAGTCTCCTACGACCTAGATCCCTTCCCTGCCTCGTAGAGTCCATGGACCTGCGTGCTGTCGGGCACCAACTGTGCACTGAACACCTGTGCATGCTCTACAAGGCCCTGTGACATGCAACACACACCTCTCCGTCTGCCTCTGAAGCCTCACCCTCTTCTGCAGTGCAGCCCCTGCCACTACACCTTGTCTTGCTACTCCCAGTTTCTGAGGTTTGCCCAGCTTGTGGGCAGCAGTGAGATCCCTTTCCCAACTAATCTTTGTCCTGCAGAGTGTTGTCCTTCTGCAGGAACCCACATACCTCATGGTGCCTTTGCTAGAGCCCATCCCAGTGCTCCCAGAATCGTAGTAGATATCAGATATATCTATATAAATATAGGTATATAATAGAATACATAACATGCCCTCTCTTGCAGCCTCCCTCTTCCAGCATACCA